GAAACTGGATTTACAGGGGACCCCGAAGATCATAAAAACAGGTTACATATGACAGCGGTTGGGCAGGTTCTTGCTTTTGCACTTCGAGCAATAAGGACCATCCCCCATGATCAAAGATGGAAAGACTGGGCCGCGAGTCAATTGGATATGTGGGTGATTACAGAAGAAGATTTACATTCACCAACGCCGGAAAATGATGAGAAGCCCCCAACACCATACAGGCCCCTGAAAAGTGCTCGGAACTTTGTCAAGAAAAGCCCTGTCCGCACCCGATCAAAGGCCGCGCGGTCAACCTGCAAACCGACATCTTTATTGCAGAATAGCAGTGGGGAAGATGACAATGATAGCGAGTCTGACACAAATCATCCTAGCAAAAGACCTCGACGTCCTGCGGATGTCATGGTTGTGGTACCTCCGCCACCTAACCGGGTATCATCTTACAAGGGCCCCGTCTGTAAGGATGGAACTCGGCGATATTGCACTCAGAAGTGCTTGCTTGGTCTCTTGAATGGTGGGCCGCTGGATAGGGCCTGTCCAAATGCCAAAGAACATGGGACAGAAGTCCATAAGATCAACCATACCACTTTCCTCTCCCTCCTCATGGCACAGATACTACAAGAAATAAAAGATCCTTGGTCCCAGCCTCTGGGTTGCGAATCGCTGCATAGGCACGGTTCTCGTGGTGCACTCTTTGAAGTTATTCTTTTTCAATATGGGTACACTCTGGTAGGAAAAGGTTTTCCTCTGGAGTTTGGTCCCTACCTCAGGCATGAAAAAGGCACTCTACGACCACTTGCAGCCGATCCAAGGTGTACATATTCCTGTATGTCTTGGCACAATCGATGTTTCTAAGCGGCCCATGTTCTACGATGGAATCGCAGACATTCCCCACCTTTTACTTCTCGCCCACGCAGGCACTGAAATTTCAAAATGTAATGTTGCAGAGACTCAAATTGTGTCTGCAGTATCGGAGGCATTGCAGGCCGTTCATGCGCTGGGTGTACTCCACTGTGATGCGGAAGAAAGAAATATGTTTTGGAGTGAGGAAGGTGAGAATGTGCTGGTAATTGATTTTGAAAGAGCAAAGATTCTTCGCCGTGAACGAGCGCCTTTAGAAAACACATCACCGAACCAGAAGAGAAAGAGGGGGTCCAAGAGTATGGGTGGAGAAACAGAGCTGGCTGTGAGACAAAAGCGGATTGACGCTAAATTCGAGAGAGAGCTTCAGGAGACGGTGCGATCCTTGAATACATACAGTGCTACGCAAAAAGTTTGAAACTTTTATGCACTGTTTATTGCTATAGGTTTACTGGGAGGTCCTGGGTGGTGTTTTAACCACTAGTTACTGTATATTTAATCCCATCATCATTTATTCATACGAGCAGACAACATTCTTCTAGAACAGATTTTTAAAATTGTATACTTTAGATATAAATACCTCTACTCTGTATTCTTCATTATAATCTCTTTCAGCTTGATGATGTGGCCCAATTAATAGATGTTTTTGTAAATTGAAAGAGGATAGTGATACATCTGTTGTACGTCAGTAACAGAATTAGTATTACAGTTTTGGAGAATTTGAGTGAGAAGCAGATTTCACTGAATCCCAACTTCGCAAACGGGGGCGTTTTTGAGAGCGAAAAAGCTCAGACTCGCTTGTGGAACGATTGAATCGGGGTTTGGCGCGATGCCCCAGCGAAACAGGCATGTTGCCACCCCTTGTTATCCTGTTCCCAGTTGTCCGTCGCCATGGCAACGAACCGGGCGTCAATAGCAGAATCTAGATCCGCTTCGTGGGAATAACATGGAGAGAAGCGTTGGAGAAGAGATGAATATAACTATACAAGTTTGATAAGACGATAGTTATTCATATAGTCACCTACATATATCCTTTCTTCCACGACTATTTGTTAAGGTGTTTTACGATGAGGTATGGAATGCGATTCCCGCCGTCCCTCCTTACATTTCATGTCGATGTGAATATCGCAGGGCAAGAAATGAACCGACTGGATGCTATACATGTACATACATTTAGTTATGTATGTTTATTTCTGATATAGGGATAAGTCGCTAACATGGAAATTATACGCCGCAGGTGAAACCGGCTGCCATTTCGCGTTTCCATACCATCACACCTTCCCTGCCGCATTCCTCCCCATATATCAGGCTCCCCGAGAAACACGGCTTGTTTACGAACAAAGAAACGGGATAAAACCATAACATACCAGGATATAAAATAATAGCCTTGATATTTTCGGGATATCAACAACATACACACAAGAGCGGCCACAACACAACAAGGCACATCTGCTGAAAAAAAGACGCGACGCTGGAAATCAGAGAAAGGTACCGTTACGAACGTTTAATAAATACATAACTTGTCCATATGGCGGAGAAAAGATAATCATTTGGACAAAATTTTTATCAACAATCCCCTTTTTGTCTCTCTATCTCCCGTCTCACTATTCTCTTTTACAATCTCCCCAAACCTTTTCACTACATTTACACTTTTTTTCCCTTCCCTTGTCCCTACATGTACTTAAATTACCAATCCCGCCATCACGACCTCCTCAGCCAGATCGTGCATATATTGAGAAACAACAGGAATATGGCGCTGGATCCGCGCTTCTACAACAGCATTGGAGGCCCACCATCATTACCATCACCATCACAACTGGGCTCCAGAGTCTCGATGGTCTCGATGAACGGAGAAGGTATGATCGTTTCCCACGCGTCGCCGGTACCGTCAGCCCCGATGTCCGTTTACTCCAGTGCCGCAGCAAATATCGGGCCAAACGCAGGAGCGTTATCCATGGCATCGTCCGGAGCGTTTCGATCGACAGCTTCCAGTCCGTCGTTGAGAGCAAGGGAAAGTGTTGTGGTTGAGCCGAGTCGGGCGGGGACGCCCGTTAATGGGGTTGGGGCAGGGGGAGGAGGCAATGTCAGGGTTGTGGTGAGAGTTAGGGGGTTTTTACCTAGAGGTTTGTTCGAGGAGCGAAATATTTTCCTTGAGTCCACTGTTCTCAGTTGCTCTTCCTGGTTCTAACGGCCAGCCCGCAAATTTGGCGGATTACAGAAATCAAACGAGGGACGGAATGTCTTATATCGATGAATCCCGAGACTCAATCTACCACCCTCATAGCTAGGCCCCATTCTGGCGCACAAGATCCGGCTAATTTCAGGATACAGAACAGGGGGAAAGTCCTCGAAAATAAAACTTTCACGTTCGATAATTCGTTTTGGTCTCATGATAAGAATGATGAGCACTACGCCACGCAAGAAGATGTGTATAATTGCCTCGGCGAGGAGTTCCTGGATCACAATTTCGAGGGATATCACACATGTATCTTCGCATACGGCCAGACTGGGTCAGGTAAAAGCTACACGATGATGGGTACACAAGAGCAACCTGGTTTGATTCCACGGACATGTGAAGACCTGTTCCAGCGTATTGAGAGTTCTGAATCACCTGATATCAGTTATAATGTCCGCGTCTCATATTTTGAGGTATACAACGAGCATGTACGAGATCTGTTGGCACCACGCACAGACACGCCATATTACTTGAAGATTAGAGAGTCACCAACAGACGGGCCGTACGTAAAGGATCTAACAGATGTGCCAGTACGGAGCTATTCAGAGATTATGCGGCTCATGCGCAAAGGAGATGCTTCTCGTACTACCGCGAGCACGAAAATGAACGATACAAGCTCACGGTCTCATGCAGTTTTCACGATCATGCTAAAACAAATCCATCACGACCTATCGACGGATGAAACGACTGAACGAACAGCGCGTATTAGACTCGTGGATCTTGCCGGGTCAGAACGAGCCAAATCAACAGAAGCAACGGGACAGAGACTAAGGGAAGGCTCTAATATCAACAAATCTCTTACTACCCTTGGTCGCGTTATTGCCGCTTTAGCAGATAATAAACCTGGTCGACCGCGCAAGAACAAAGAAGTTGTCCCTTACCGTGACTCTATCCTGACTTGGTTACTGAAGGATAGCTTGGGAGGAAATTCGAAAACGGCCATGATTGCATGTATAGCCCCGTCAGATTATGAGGAAACTCTTTCCACCCTGCGCTATGCAGACCAAGCGAAGCACATCCGTACACGCGCTGTCGTCAACCAGGATCATGTTTCAGCCGCTGAACGTGATGCACAGATTGCCGAAATGGCTGAGATCATCCGCGAGCTTCAGATCAGTGTGAACCAGCAGGCTATCAGCAAACGGGAAACAGAGATGAAGAATGAAAAACTAGAAGAGTATCAAGGTCAAGTCGTCAAGCTGCAACGGTTGATGGAAGAGACCAAGATGGTCAGTGAATGCAAAATACGCCAGTTACAGACGGAGAATGATGCTCTGCGTCGTCACTTGAAGCTTGCTCTGGAGAGTTTAAAAAACCCCATCCCGCCAGTTGAGGTAGTCAAACGGGCGAGACAGAGTGATCTGTTCTCCGTTCCAGGAAAAGAGAACATTGCGGACGGTGTGCGCATTATGGATGAAGAGGAGTATGGGAACGACACGCCTACAACAGAACCCGACCTGATCTGGGAGGATTGCGACGATTATGCCAGCGTTGCTGACGCCGGTGAACTGGAAGCCGTGGAGATGCAGGCGCAGATGGAGGACCTTCTGCTTGATCTCAATTTTTTCAGAAGGAAAGTGGCGGACGACCATGAGCGATTCGGGATCAAAATTGCAAATGGTGGAGAGAGGCAGGTTCCCGGGGACGTTCAGTTGAACGAATAATGGTGCACCTATTTTTGTCTCGGAAATTCCTTTTTATTGTTTCCACTTTTTGAGGCTTCGTTTGCGCCTTTTTTTCTTTCCTTTTATTTTTCCTTTGCCCTGTAGGATAAGGTATTGGGAAGGATCACGGGAGAGTGATCGATTGACCATCTTTTTCTGTCGTTTTGTTTCCTCTTTGCCATCTTCCTTTTTCGTGTGTTAGATCATCATTGGGATTGGGAAATATTTTGTATGCTCGTTTCGGCCTCCTGGTGTACTTTTCTTTCTTACCTATTATAGTTGAAATGAGAAATGAAATGAGAGATGAATGAGTCACAAGAGAACGAAGCTGTCAGTGACGTATTCATGCATAGCCAGAAGGCTGCAGAAGATTTATTTATATGTGGCCTGTGTATGGCCAGCATATGTTCCTGGAATATGAATGACAAAGACTCCTAAATAAATATGTCCCTATCGCACTTCTTTCCTCTTCAGTTACCTGCAATGAATCGCCTGCGTGCCGTGTTGAGTCAAATCATTCAAAATGGTTCCGCCGCCAGCCTGGTATTCGCGCTGTCAAGGTTGGGTGCAGAAGAAACTAAGCCGCCGCCCGCACGCATCGACCTCCGTCATGACTCAATCATTTTCCAAAAAATCTACTTCCAACCCTTGTCTTCTTCCGCAACACCTCCCCTCACAACAACCCGCAATCGTTTCTACAATCATGGGTCCTCCACCAAACCCTGCAAAAGACGCAGACTATTCAAAGCAGAATACCAATACGCTTGACGCGACAAGTAAACTTAATCGACCGAATTCTGATTCTCCACAGGCGAAAATTACCACTACCACCACCTCCGTGAAAGCGAATGGAACCCCACAACCAGCTGCTTCAGCACCTATTACCACCACTACAACTCCTGCTGATACTCCTGCTGTGCCAACACAAGTCAACACTAATGCGCCTTCCGATTCTACCCCAAAGCTCTCCGGCGCCGAGCTGAAGAAGAGGGCCAAGGCCGAGAAAGCTGCGAGGCGAGCGAAGGAAAAAGAAGAGCGCGAGCAAGCTTCTGGGAGCGGCACTGCGGCCAGTGGCGGTGGCAGCGCCAGCGGAAATGCAAAACAGCAATTAAACCAGCCATTGTCGAAGAAGGGGCCTCCTGGGCCTCAGGCGCAAAAAATTGCTGAGACCGGTGGCTCGGGCGGGAAAGGACAGAAACAATTTGGGACTGGTGGGGGAGGAGGGGGAGGAGGAGGAGCTGCTACTGCCGGGCGGCGTGCCTCGGTTTCATATCTTAACACTACGGAATTGTCGAGGAAGAAGAAGTGGGAGGAGGAAAATATGGCTGTTAGTAAGACGGTTGCGATGTTCAGTCATTTGTCGTTGCAGAACCACCGAGGGACAATCGCAGGAGCGGGAAAGGAGATTCATCCTGCTATTTTGGCACTGGGGTTACAGATGAGGGATTATGTGATTTGTGGGAGTAGTGCGAGGTGTGTGGCCATGTTGCTGGCCTTTAAAAGGGTACGTTATGCCCCTCTTTGTTTATCCCAATTACGTTTTTTGTTACAAGCGAGGACCAGAGAGTATTTCTATCAAGACATTGCTAACTCACAATTTTGGTCCTAGGTGATCGAGTCTTACACTACACCCGTTGGGACATCGCTAGCACGCAACTTGACAACACATCTCTCACACCAAATCTCATATCTTTCATCCTGTCGACCACTTTCCATAAGCCAGGGCAACGCGATTCGTGCTATAAAACTTGCCATTTCAGCTGTAGACCCATCCTGTCCTGAAGACGAAGCCAAAGAGGCACTATGTGAGTTCATCGACGGGTTTATCCGTGAAAAAATAACAGTTGCGGACCAGGTGATTGCAAACAGCGCAGCTCAAAAAGTCAATGATGGTGATGTCATCCTCTGCTACGGCGGGAGCAACATTGTCCAGCAGACCCTACTTACGGCCCACCGTCAGGGCAAAAAGTTTCGCGTCTCAGTAATTGATTCCCGTCCCCTTTTCGAAGGCAAAAAACTTGCCCGTACCCTTGCCAATGCTGGACTACGAGTGCAATATACGCTGGTTCATGCCATCAGTCATGCGGTAAAGGAAGCAACCAAGGTATTCCTAGGCGCCCACTCCATGACGAGCAATGGCCGCCTTTTCAGTCGCGTTGGCACCGCCCTCGTCGCAATGTCTGCAAAGGAGCCGGTTGGCGGCATAAACATTCCTGTGATTGTATGTTGCGAAACAGTTAAGTTCACCGACAAGGTAGTTCTTGACAGCATTGTTCTCAACGAAATGGCCGATGCGGACGAGTTGGCCACTAGCGAACCCTCACATCAACTAACTCAGCCACCACTGACAAAAAGCACCAAGCCGGGCTCTGCGGCTAACCAAGGCTCTGCTTCGACGGCTGATCCAGCTCCCCACACCGTCATTGATCCGAACAATCCTCTCCAACACTGGAAGGAGAAACCAGGCTTACAGCTGTTGAATATCATGTACGACGTCACACCCGCTGAGTATATCGATATGGTCATTACGGAGATGGGGAGTTTACCTCCCAGTGCTGTGCCGATCGTTCACCGGATGAGCACGAATTCCTGATCTCGGTCGTACCTGTTTGTTTAATAATTTCATGCTTTTTGTCTTGTTCCCTTGAGTTCTTATCTTGTATTTGTTTTCTTTTTCTATGAGTTTCGATTTCCTCTCCTCACCTGCTTTCTTTATTTCTACTTTATGTTTCTACTTTCTTCCTTTTATGTATATTTCCTTCTGTTCCCATTATTTTTTGATCTTCGGTTTTTACTGCACATGTTATGGGATAGAAAAAGGGTACATCAGGCACAACGGTCAGTACAATGCAATTGTGTTGCGATGAGGTTTGACGGAAAAGGAAGGCGTGGAAATAATGGAAAAGCAGGGGTTTGTGATATCAGGAGCATTGCAATGGAGCAGCAGGATTTTCGCGATTCTGTTTTTCTATCCTCTCGGTTTTGATTCCTTCTACTTCACTTTCGGGGCCCGGAGTATGACTGGGCTAATATATTTGGGCCCTCCCTTTAATTCTTGTTTAAATCTCTTTTCTCTCCTGTTTTGGATTCCATTTACGTGTGTATTCCGCATCATCTGTTAAACGACTTCCCCCTCCGTATATGTCCCAGTTTAGCAAGGGCTATATATTTCCTCTTATTTTATCTTGATCTTTTCATTCTAGCTGAATCTGAACAGCCTCATTTTTTCATTATGTATACTTATTCTAGCTACTTAGGTGACTTACTTCCAAATCTTTTTCCGTTCAATAAAAATCATTTTCTAAGCGAATAAAATCACGTGACTGAATCGTTCTGGATCCATCTGTCGATGACGTCGAGCTGGTGCAATGTTGACAAACAAATGTCAGAAATAAACTCCAATCGATAGAGGGGAAATAACTGAAGACTCCCACTCCTCAAAGTAAGATAATAAACAAATCAAGATGGTACGTCACAAACGTTAAGAACATAACCAAGACAATCAGCTAACACAAATCATCCACAACCAGTCCAAAGACTCCTCCCCAAACCACATACACTTCCACCATCCCCGCCTCGCCGACCTCTTCGAGGACTTCAGCCGCCCGTACACCTCAATTTTCACCAGCAACACAGGCACGGACAGCTCTTCGTCCAACGGTCCCAATCCAGCAGCAGCAACAGCGGCCACCACATCCACAGTCAACAACCCTTCCTCAAACCCTTCTTCGACAATGCCAGCAACCATCAACTCCTTCCTCCCCGTCGAAGACATCTACGTCGCCCCTCAATACCAACCCGTGAATCCTGAGGATGAGGATGATGTTGTCCCCGACCAACATGCTGTTTTTGGCATTACGCGCGCCATGGAGGCAAGACGGGAGGTTGTTTGGAGGGACTTAGCACTCGAGGAGCTTATGCGCGGGGCGAGGTTGGCGGAGAGGAGCGGAGGGGTTGGGGTTATTGTGGGTGGTGGTGGTGGTGGAGTGGGTGGTGGTGGTGCTGGGGGGATTAGAAGAGGTGGAAGAGGTGCTGGAGGGGTCGGTGGCAGTACCGGCGTGGTAAGGAGGGTCATGTGTTTGAGGTGACGTGCGGTGAGCCGTGCGGTTAGAAATGATTGTAGTGTGTTTCTTAGGTTGAGATGGGTATTCAGATCATTTTTATGTCGACATTTTGCTTTGTTTGCATAGCTTTGTTCTTTGGAGTTAATGGATGGAGGAGACTCGGCAAGGCATGGTTTCTTTTTCTGTATTTTATTGTTAAGCTCTTGTCGGGAGGAGCTTTTGTGCATATAAAGTAGTCAATTGTTGAAGCGAAATGTTGAACATCATAGTACAATACAGTGCATATGAATATATAGAGATATAATTGACACTGAATGCACCCCTATCCATAACGCCCATTCTCCCGAAGCTGCAATCCATGAGACCCATTCGTCATGTCATTTCCAAATATTTCTTAGATCTTAATCACATCAACTCTTGCCCGTTCATAGACTTTGTGCCCTACCTGTTTCACATTCATTTCTTCTTCAGTGAGGGTCCTTGGGTGCAATGTCATTTGCGCAAATGATCCTGCTGCTTTCCGTTTTGACAGTGTCCCAGGGTTAATAACCAGGACGCCCTCAACTACCTAAGAAGTTGGTGCATGGGTTAGCAAGGTTCCACCACGTTATCAAGAAAATCCAATCCGCAACACAAATTGCCAGGACTAACCTTGACAAACGGAGGTAAAATACTAGGTGTAATCAGCACGTCTGGTCGCACATTCCACCACTCTCCCAATTTCAAGTAGCTAGTATCGAGCATTGCACCAGTGGCTAGCCCACCCTCGACCCCAGACTTTGGCAGATTACCTCTAGCCGTCGGAGGGAAGACAGGTAAGAAATGCCGTTGTTCAATCAAATATCGTGATAGTCTGGTTAACAAGCCGCCCTCTGAAGGTCTGCCTCCTAGCACCTCCTCTTGTCTTAGTTCGTAAAGAACATCATGGGAACACATCCCAAACACGTTTTCATTGAGTGAGAGAGTTACGGGATTGGGAACGGTTCGAACCTGCTTCGTCTGGAATAAGTCCAGATCCCTTTTAAGTAGTTTCTCTTGCGGAAAGGAGACGTGTTTGCTGATTGCATCGCGAACTGAAGGGACGAGGAAAATACAAATGCTTGGAACCGCAGATGCGAGTTGTTTTAGGAGTGGGGTTATATAACATTGGAACAGGGATGATAGTGTCGCATTGTCTGGATCCAACCCTTTTTCATCCGGAAGGTCAAAATCACCAGATGCAACAAGGGGATGTTCTAGATCCAGGAATGGCCCCGTTAGAATCAAAGCATCAGCATATTCATCGGCAGCCTTTGCGCATAAAGTTCTAAGTGGTTCGAAATCCAGATTATCATCCGCGGTGAAAGGCCCTGAAGCTATGAGAATATTTAATGCCCGTTCCGCATCACTATCCCCAAGTCGATCATTGATCGATTGTATTATTGCGGGAGGCGATGCAGCTGGCGGTAGCAGCGGTGTGGAAAGCACCTCGAACACTGTGAAATACTCTCGAGAAGCATTTATTCCTCGAAGGGCAACAATTTGCCCAGGGAAAAATTGAACCGAAGGTAACGAGTCAATTTTCAGGGGAATTCGTAAACCTGCACCACTTCGTCTAGATGTTTCCAAAACCAAAGATGCTGTGTTCAATTTTCCCTCTAAACTGTCCGAAGCAATTCTTCCCACTGCAATTATCTCTTTGGTACTTTGATTGGCCGCACTGCCAAAGATGGTATCATCCAAACCATGATGTTTTTGAATGATAGCCATAAATTCATCTATCATGTTATCTAGCACTTCAGACGCCTCATTTAAATGCATGGACATCGGTTTATAGGCAAATTTCTTCATATCGGTGTTCGCGGTCGGCTTAACACGTTCCATTGGGTACGGGGCTATCGGAGGTTGTGACATCGAAAGATGAGTGTTTATCGTTTCCAATACTTGTCCACTATTTTGTCGTTCAGCGAAAGGGGTTGGCCTGTTCGACTATTAACTAACATTTTCTTTCTCTAACACATTTAGAGGAATGGGAAATGAATTACTGTAATCCAGCGAGGTCGCCATTCGATGGCCGTAAAGGAGTTTGAGGATTCCCTAGAGATCCAGCACTCTTTTCGACTCTGCCAACCTTCGATGTTGAAGGAGTCCCAAAAGCGGCTTTTCTTTTCCCAGCGCCAGCGCTCGCTCCATTGGTTGTTCGGCTGTGCGGTGATGCGGCGAAATCATCGAGCCTATGAAATATTAGTCTTTCATCCCCCAACCAATTAATAGAGTATGCAAAATCAGTTTCTGAAACCTACATCTCGAAGACATCCCGATTATTAGCTGCAGCTCGGGGGGTTGCTGATACAGCATTTCTTTTATCAGCTCCACGCATATGGGCTTTCCCTCGACTCTCGCGCTCCAAGACATCCTGGATATCTCTCTTCAGGCCTCGAACGGTATCCAAATTTAGGCCCGTTTCCTCTGCTCCCATTTTCAGGCAGTATGCATCCCATTTGTAGGATAAGTCTTGAGCAGACATCGAGTGAAGCCGCATGATCGATCGTAGTTCTGTCGCGATATCTTGCGGAACTCCAGACGGGGCAAGATCCCGAAAAGGCATCATCGAGTTCGCCTCCTGTAACCTCCATTGATAGCTCCGCTCCTCCACGTCGAGATTGGGTCTTTTGTTCAAAGCTTCCCTATACCGATACACACTACGGTCGTCAATGCCAAAACAGCTTCAGGGAAATTTGGAAAACGCGTTTGTCACGCGCTTTCATCTTGGCATTATTCTGCCTTCTGATTAGCCAATCCGCTCACCAATCAAAAGTAGCCGGCCGAACTTTAAATAGCATCAGCTTCAGCATAATTTTGCTCCTGACTTCTGCTCTATGATAGTGAACAAACTTGATTTCGATTATTTTCCCTGTTCAGATCTTCAATTGCGCATTCAGATACCGCGGAAATGGTTGTAGAGACAAACGGTGCTCCAACACAAGCTGCGGAAACGCCTGCTGACCCCGTCGATAAGGTTGAAACAAACCAGGATACTCCCAAGAAAGCTCCAAAAAATGAAACTCCCTCATCCCCAACTGCGGCTGCAGATGGAGTCATCAAAACGCCGTTTGCGTCGCCCTTAGAAACCTGCAAGCCAGAGCCTCCTGCAGAGTTAACCTCTGAACAACAATCGAAATACGAGCAGCTTCTTACGACTGTTTCCGAATGGACGACAGTTCCTACTACGACGGCAAAGAATGCGCCCACGGAGCCTATCACAGACGATGATCGTATGTTCCTGACACGCGAATGTCTGCTTCGATATCTCCGTGCTACCAAGTGGGACTTGAGTGCCGCCAGCAATCGACTCAGGGGAACTCTGACCTGGCGCCGTGAGTATGGCCTTGACAAACTTACACCCGACTATATCTCGGTTGAGAACGAAACAGGCAAGCAAGTCATTCTTGGATACGATGTGAATGCTCGACCATGTTTGTATCTGATCCCAGCCAGACAGAACACTGAGTACAGTGAGCGACAACTGGAGCACCTTGTGTTTATGGTGGAGCGTGTTATCGACCTCATGGGCCCTTATCAAGAATCTTTAGCATTGCTGGTGAATTTCAGTGATATGCGATCAGGGCAAGGCTCAACAATTGGTCAGGGCAGACAAACGCTGAGCATTCTCCAAAACCACTACCCAGAACGCCTTGGTCGGGCTCTCGTCGTCAATAGTAAGTTTTTCAACCGCACTGGGGACGAAAACTAGAGCAATCTTAGCTAACTTCTAACCAGTACCTTTCCTGGTTCACGGATTCTTCAAGCTTCTTTCGCCATTTATCGACCCGCTGACGAGGACAAAGCTCAAGTTTAACGAGGACCTCCGTAAGCACGTTCCACCTGCGCAGCTGCTCAAAACCGTAGGCGGAGAAGTAGAATTCGAGTATGATCACTCGAAGTACTGGCCAGAACTGAACAAGCTGTGTGAACAGCGACGAAAGGGGTACTTTGAGAGATGGATCCAAGGCGGCAAGATCATCGGAGAGCATGAAACCTATCTGAAAGGCGGACCCGACAAGGGCCGCAATGCAAGCCAGGCAGCGGTTCCAACGGTTGAGGGAAAGACGGAACGCTTGGAGGTCAACCACCCCCAAGCCAACAACGAGCAATCCGGCGACGCAATCACGCCAGCATAGTAAAGGGAGTTTCATCGTCTATTTCAACTCCACGGTCATTTTAAATACGACTAGCGCGTCATATTTCGGGCTCTTTTTTTTTATGAATTTCGTTTGATCAAAATTTTAAGCTTAATCATGTTTGGCCGGCATAGATGCATTGTTTGATGAAATCCGTGCTAGAACGTTCTCTCCGGTGTTCTTTGAATAGATATCGGTTGTCTTTTGAGCAGCGTTGGGGTTACACTTGCGGATGTTTAAGACTACTACTATAAGCGCGCCTGTCGTTGTCTGGGAATCAATTCACAATAACTATACGGTAGTATCATATAAGCTCACGAAAACCCGAACCCCCGCATTCCGGCTCAGATATGGAAGAAATTTAATTTAGTTCCAGATACCCCCACACATCCATTATTCCATCCCGCCGAGAAATGTATAATCAAAGGCTGCTTATCCTTAATATTCCTTTCAAAGTCGGAATGCGGCATCGGAACATCTAATGATCCGGAGCAAAAGCATCCAACCCTTCATAAGCTATTAACTTATTCCTATACCTATTCATTGCCATGCTCTCCCTGCTTAATGTCGATGCTATATCCAAACCCCCTCAAAATTAATATCTGGATTGAGGGTTTAACCTATGTCTGTAGCCCTTGTGTATAGTCTCCCATCAACCGCTGAAGTCGGATTTGAATTACATGATCCCTCGGCTTCCATACTTTCCTTCGCCCCAAGTCCATCCCTTGCCCTACATTGGCTTGTTGGGCTAATCCTACTACGTCGATTTCAGCAGCTATTTCTGGAGTGAACCAAGCCAGCTAAGCGGTTCCAGTTGGTCCACTCTCTCTACTTGCGGCTATCCCGTGCAGAACAGACTTGTTCTACCCTTACACCACAACATGACCGATGATGCCCTAGACCGACCACATACTGCGTCGCCTAGGCTTCCGGGCATTACGTCCTCCGCTAGTCCATCGGCAGGAACGGGCTCGAGAGGTGGTCACGAGGTGGGCTTCGTACAGCCATCTTCCTATCTCCGACCCCGCGCTGTGTCTCGTCCAATGTCTCCCGCTCAACCAGAGCGAGCTGTCGACCGCGATGAAAGATTGGCGCTGGTAAGAATATTAGGGATTTTCCTCCCCATGTTCTGTTTTAGCTTTATTTGTCCAGTCTCTTTCCCTCTACCGCCCTTCCCCAGGTTTTGGACTAATGCGGGGCTGGGAGCTACGCGGACCCGCATCGGGATGGGGGAAACCATTGATTGATCTATAAACGTGGATGAGCTTTTTACACTTATTGCCCGATTCACTTCAATGGAGATAACAGAGAGAAGACAAAATATATACAATTTCCTGCTTTCCTTGAGCACCAGTGCTGACATGATTCCCTGTGACAGCGTGAAATCCGAAAATTCCTCAAAGTCCGTACCAGCTATGACGTCCTGCCTCTTAGCTTCCGCCTAATTGTCTTTGACACCGCCCTCTCAGTGAAGGAGAGTCTCAACATTTTAACGCAGAATGGTAAGCTACAATGCGGTCGAGGTTTGCACCGCCGCTCATGGCAACGCATAGAAAATATGTGCCTCTGATAACCATCCAAACGGTATAGGAATTGTATCTGCTCCACTATGGGATTCCACGACCTCAACTTTTGCCGGGTTACTCACCACGTCGGACTACATCAACGTCATTCAGTACTACTTCCAGTATCCAGCTGCGTTAGCGAAAATAGACCAGTTCCGCCTGAACAGCCTGCGTGGTATGTTGTCTTACTTCAGTATTGGCCTCCGCTTCGTATTTTCGTATGCTAACTCGTTGTAATAGAAGTCGAGAGAGCGTTGGGCGTTGCTCCACCAGAAACTGTTTCTATTGACCCCGAACGACCCCTGTATGAAGCGTGCCGGCGTATGCTCTCTTCCAGAGCACGCAGAATACCTTTGGTGTCGTACGATTCTCAAACTGAAAGACCCCTGGTAGTTAGCGTAATCACGCAATACCGCATTCTAAAGTTTGTAGCTGTAAACGTTAGTGAAACGCAAAAGTTACGAAAACCTTTGAGAGAAATAAATCTCGGGACATATAATGACGTTGTTACTGCCACCATGGACACACCTGTCATTGATGTGATCCACAAATTGGTTGAGCGTAGCATATCCAGCGTTCCAATCATTAATTCTGAAGGTGAGGGCCTCTGTATATACATACCTCGTCCTCCGATATTCAATAATCAGCTGACTTAAGTTGTTTCTCGTTTGTCAGGCGTTGTATACAATGTTTTCGAAGCGGTTGACGTCATAACACTGATCAAGGGGGGTGTTTACGATGACCTTAATCTTGGAGTCGGTGAGGCTTTGAAAAAGCGACCAGTTGTAGGTCCACACCGCTCGTCATTGGATTTTCCTTGAAGCAGCCAACTTACATTTTTCTTTGTTAGGGTTTCCCCGGAATCTACACATGCTCACCAGATGATGGTCTCGACACCATACTTGACACAATTCGTCGGTCACGAGTACATCGTTTGGTCGTTGTGGATGAAAATTGCCGCCTCAAAGGCGTTCTCACATTGAGCGACATATTACGCTATATCCTTCTAGAAGGCGAACCAGACGAAGCATGATTGAAGAAACAATCAAACTAGAAAAAGAACAAGTTCCTTCAAATATGCATAGGCGCTAGCGTTATATCCTTTTTACCCCTTGGGCTTTCGTTCTTTTTTTTTTTAAAAAAAGCTGGGATAGAGTTTGGAAGGCAAAAATAAACCCATGCGTTGCCTAGGATCTAGTCGTTGGCTTATAGCCTCGCTATTCGCTATTACTCCAGCTCTCCTTAGGGTGCATAACCGGCCTAGATATGGATTTATTAACGATTCCTGGCTATTTTGGCATCTCACTTTTGCGTTCTTTGTTTTGGATTTTTATTGGAAGCATCGGCGTTTATTTCTGGAATAGAGCGGTCGATACATCTTCTCTATGTCAGCTCGATCATCGTTTATACCGTGAATGGCAACCCCTCTAGCTATGTCGATTTACCTCCACCCACCCCCCCCCCGTTAATTTCATTCTTCCCATTGCTCAATGATTTTTTTATGGCTGATGAATGCAGAGAAATGACAGCAGTCCCCTAAATCTGGCATCTTGTTTTTATTCATGTGGCTTGTGTTTTATCTTCTTTTCTTTACTTTGTGAAGTGATAATCGGTATGAATTTTTCACACTACCCTTTGATTGTTTTCACGTTCAACCAAACTCCGTCTTCCATGGTTATCAGACCGACCACTCACCAGACAGATTTCCACGCACAAATACTTCTTCGCTGAGTCTCTACTGGGCCGCTTCAAATAATGCTACTGGCGTGGACGGTTGTTCCTTCCCTCCCTATGGTCGCTCTTGCCCCCGCCCCAAGGCTGTTAACAGAAGTGTTTGCATTTATATTGTTACTACATATCTCCTCCTAAACCCTGTCAACCCTATTTGCACCCTTACGCTTTGCCATTCTGGCTTCCACCGGCCTCATCGACAATCGTTCTCTATACCATCCAAGGGCAGAGCATCCGAGGCTGAAGAAAATGGGCTTCTCAGAAGTTTTGCGTTACCTTTCACGGTTGTATCGCAGAAGCTCCAAAAATAATCGATCGAATATTACTGCTCCATCCGTACAAACAAAACCTCCTCCTACCAATGATCCAAAACATACGCAAACATGTCCTTTCGTCACCGCCATTGAACCGAGGCAGGAGGACCGGAAGGTAGCAGACAACCACATACCTAGGATCCCATCAAATCAACAGATAGATGGGATTCAACCAAGCCAAGCTCTGGTCGAATCTCGCCAGGTTGTTCGGGAATGTAAATTCCCCATCGAGGCTGTTAAAAAGGCTAGGACACCGCCAAAATCACATTTTGAAAACCTCCAGATTGAAAAATCGAGTGGTCGTATCCGAGGCTCGCCCGTCTGTAAATCTCGAGTTTCAGACCATAGCGAAGACAAGATCTTATCGGACGGGCTGAGGGGCGCTATTGGAGATGAAAATCATCAGGGCACTGCAGGTCCAGCTCTAAGTAAGGATGATTGTGTTGAATCTAACCCTCGACGTAACTCTAGCAAGTCAAAGAGACAATTCAGCAATCAGACGCTGTTGTCGGATGAATCTTCCGACACTGTCCAGCGTAATCCGTCGAAACGTTGCCGAAGTCCAATTGCAACCATGGACTCTAAGATTCTATCCGAGAACAACAGCCAATTCTCAGATATCCAATCCATACGGAGGTCCTACATGATCAGTTCGGACGACATATTAAAACCTAGTGGGCTGTTCGCATTTTCAGAGCGTGACCCAAACTCTTGCTCATGTAACGAATCGCATCGTTCATGCGATGGGAGTGCACAGTCGACCCGTGCGCCAGCTCCATCCAAAATATCCACGCGCTCTTCAGAAAACATATCCAACAGAATAGTGTCTGACACAACTATTCCACAGAGGCACACCCTTCGTTCGACGGTTTTGAATCGTCTCCGTATCTCTATTGATGTCTTAGAAATTGTACTACCCACTAAATCTCAAGAAAATATTCCAAATCCAGGTGAGAGGGAAGAGAAACCAAGAAATTATTAGGCTAAGCACTTAAGCTAACCATATGTAATTTTCTCAGCGGAAGAAGCAGCGGGCTCGCCCAGCCGTTCTGGTTCTTTTCTCGATCGTATTCGCAGCGTCAAGTCAAATTTGGGTCTCAACCGCAACAACAGTGGTAGGAGAGCATTGCGTCGTATCCAAACCTTTGCCAACCTACCAGTACAATACCATATCGGCGAATTGAGGGGTAAAGGATTGCAAGATCTAGCCCGCCTTGGAGGGTTGAGTTATTTGAATTTGCCGGAGGGGTATGGCCCTCGTAACCTAGCATTGCCAACATGTTTCGCTTCAACAATGGGTTACCTTCTAGAAAATGGTATGGTTTGCTGTTATTTGGCTAGAAGAAAGTCTCAAGCTAAGTAGACAATTTTGATAATAGGCATCGGTGTTTATGATCTACATGACTTTCATAACAATAACGATATTGTTTTATCGCTATATAGTAAATACGCCAACCAGGTGCTCTCTGCTGCTCTGAAAACAGATACAATTGACAAAACTACGAGAGCAGTCAGACCGCCAACTGCGTTCGTTCCACAACTTGGTAATCCCTCTGGAAGAAACACGGACTTTATTCATGATGTTTCCATGGTATTCAGACACTTATTGTGGGGTATACCTGGTGGCATTCTGGGATCCGTATACTTAGGTGAAGTATTACAACGAATTCAACAACACGAATTTAAGACGTCCTTAGTGATTAAAGATCCATACCGAAGCGAGTATCGCCTCGATCTTCCGCTTCCTACCGCTGCCAAAATCCGGTTAATCGCGCTTGCCCTCGCTGGCTTGACGAATGACTTGCAGTTAGACCTTATATGTGCTGTCTTCGGCCTCCTTTCGTTTACAGTTGACGAAAATGCCAAAATATGCAATGCACCCGATTATAAAAACAATAGCTGCTCCATACTTCCAGATTCCCAGTCGTTGGATAGGATTTTCAGGTTTGTTCTTGTGGACCCCAGATCCATTACATTGATTCATGATGGAGACTCTAACCTTAAGGACACTAGAATCTGTTATGAAGGTCTGGTGAAAATGATCATTGATCACTGGAAAGATATTTATATGCAGTTGACATGGATGGAGGGGTTTTAGTTCACGTTGCCATTATATTGTTTGGTTTGGTTTAGGTTATTTTTGGCCGCATTGCTCCTTTACTCTGGAGAATCGGTGTTTAACTACGCCGTTAGCAAAACAAAATGCCCTAGAGTTATTCTTAGGTATTTTCTTACGTTTACGACAGTTGGTCCAATTGGGTCACCACATTGGATTGCAATATATGGCCATTATCAGAACTAGCAGGGTGGTAACGGTGATGTCCTAACTCAATGATTGATGACTAGTCTCGTTGTGTTCGTTGGATGTGATATTGCATACTTCCGGGTGATTTTGCTTTTCTGACCTTGTTATATGAATTTACATAGTTAGTAGAAGCAGAACAGAGACTATTAGTTATATAGGATCTCTGAATTGAGACCAAATGGAGCTCTGAAGATTTGTCTGTCAACAAATGCCAGCTCTTTTGGAAACGGTCTGAAGTATTCCTCTTTTCAAAATAATAAATTAATCCATGAACACTTATAACCTATCGGTTGCGCAAATTTATCCAATTAATGAATGGAAGGAACAGAGATAGAGACGACATCGCCGCAAGCTAAGAAAGAAAATCTCATTTATTCAATCAACCCATTTATTATTAAAATTTTGGACATCTTTCCTTTGCTTTCATATATATTGTCATTAACAAAATCGTGAGTCAGATATTTCGAAAAAGCTCAATAAATGTGCCAGCCTTCCCCACAAACAATTAGTCATATAGACGGACACCCCCATCATCGTCAAAATCTTCTTCATCATTGGAGTTAGAAGACTCGAGAAAAGAGCCCAATGGTGAGCTTATGCTACCCAAACTGCAGTGTCCAATAGTGGTGGAATAACTGGCACGCCTGATCAACTGAGGCGTGTTTTCGATAGTGCCAGTGATATTATGGGTATATGTCGGAGTCGGGAGTTGGCGAATACCTGTTAATATCACTCGGTTATTAAGAGATAAGAGGGGTAATTATTTGAAAATCATTTCTCTCTTTTCCTTTTCTTTTTTCCATACCTAACCCTTCTTCTACCCTGTCCCACGCACAATCATCTTCTATCAGCGATTCCGGTATTTTCTGTGTTGTAATGAGCGATGTAACGCTTGCGCAGGAGCCGTTATCTTCAATGCCTAGAATATTATTGAATTGTCAGCGCTCTACACCACTTACCAGAGTAGAAAGAGCCGATGAGGCAAATGGAAGCATATACTTAGGCCGCCATCATATCCTCCGATTTCTTCACCCCATTCACTCCCTACTACCGTCGACTGCCCGTTTATTGCCACAGTGGGGGTAATCCCGGTATGCGAGTCCGGATGCCAGTTAAATGGCTTTTGCTTTCCAGCGATTTGATGCAGCGCATCCTTCCTGATTTCCCGAATCATCGCGTTTAATATATTCCTCTGGAGGATTTGACTCTCATTTTCTTCTTCGCCATTTGCAGCACCAGCGTCGCTCTTCAAGCTGACATCAGGCGGACGCCAGTTCAGGTAGATCTTGCAATGGGACGTAGGCTCTTCGAAGTTACCTGGATGGTACCGGAAGTATAGCTTGCAGCAGTAACAAGCCGGTTTGCTACATGCAATATATCGATCTGAGTCTTCGAATTCAAGTGCTTTTTCGTGGAAATGCTCCAGCACTTGTACCTCTGCGTGAACTCGTGGGCGAACGGTTGGGTCTGTATAAGGTATTAAGAATCGATAGGATACCTGGGTCGCTTCATCCATCTTCCGCAGCTCCTGTTGGTAAAATCCCAGCTGCGGAGATTTGGCAGGGAGCATGCGAACAAGCACTTTGTCTAGTAGGGTCTTTCCGCGGACGGCTGCTTCATCGATTGGTGGGAGCCACTCTGCCCTTGCTGGAGTAGTTATGGCACGAATGCTGAATCCGTTAAGCAAATGTCTGAGCTTAGATGCGGTCGATACGAGAGAGTTAGCTGCTCGAATGTGATGGGCAAGGCGTCCGATGTAGTGACGGAGTCGGCCGAATTTGTTATGGATCGCATCCTTGCTGGCTTTATAAGGGGGTTCGTCACACAACTCTTTCAGGTGTCGCATATCTGGTGACTTTCGATTCTCAAAGGCTAGGTTGCATAGGTAAACTAGGTCGTTTGGGTCAAAGTTGCAAAATCGTTGTAGCCACAACTCGAGGCCACCCACTGCTTATTTGTTAGCTTAAAGCTCGAACTAACTACTCAAGCTTGGGGAGTTCTCATCTGGGGACACATTTCGACAACATACAGGCTTCCTTGTTTGCTGCTATAAACTTCCTGCATCCCGCCAACTCCCGAGAGAAGAGTGATCGGTACTTCTTAATCCTCCTGGAACCAAAAGAAATGCATAATTTAGCGATGTCTTCTTTATCCCCTTGTCCTGGAGCTGTGGAGTTTGCAATTCGTTCCAGTGTTTGCAAGAGAAGCTTAAGAAAAGGGATGATCTTTGCAGTGGGTGAGGTATTTGAGGCAACCCAGAAGGTGCAGCCCTGCGGAGTTGACTCCAAGCCGATAGCAGTGACCGTGTCACCGCCCTTCTCATAGTCGCAGACATATGCCAGTTCGTTCAAGAAACTTCGTCTGCAGTCTTTGACAAGGGAATTGTCTGAAGGCGATACCGGCAAGCGATTTGTGTGGACACCTCTAGTAGAACCTAGGGTATGCAAAAGAACGAGGGGTTCATAAAAGCGACGAAGGAGGCGTTCGCGTCTGTTGGGATACCGACGAGACATTTCAGTGGAAGCCGACGCACTCCTCTTTCTAGGAGGTTTCTTACGTTTTCCAGCCATTTGCGGAGATTCTTCTCATGCAGGGCCCCAGTGTGATGAAAATGGCGAAGAGATTGTTGGGCATTCGGTGGAGTATCTATATATATCCGAACATTGGTATCGCCAGCAGAGGTCAAGGCTGACGAACACGTTGGATGCATATATTGGTTAGTTTCTGGAGGGCCTCATTCATGGTGAACTGTCTTGAGCTGCATGAACAAAAGACAAGTAATGAGTCCAATCATAACTATTATTAATATCGGTATGCATCGCTGAACTCTTCCACAAGGTTTGTATGGACCAGGGTCGGGAGGTCCCTAGACTTCATTGCCACGGCCAACGCTTAGCTCTAGAATCACTCGTCAAAATCAGATGACAAACAAACCATCCAGCTTTGGAGGAGTAAATTTGCAGGACCTAGCTGAAGAGTAAAACATTCAATTCGAAAAAACAAAAAAAGCCCTGGATGATATATGTGTGTTCACAAAATGTTCTCGTCTTAGTGACGTCCTGTCGTCATTGAGAAGATTTACCCCCAAAGAAGACATTTGGTTCAGGAAGCCCAAGACCATGGAGAGCGTTTCCCTTGCTGAAGCGCTCTAACGAAGTACACCTCGTGGTGAGAGAATGGGGGAATTGTGAGAAGATCTGTAACTGATTCGGCGGGGTTGGCAGCCGTTGAGTTAGGGCTGTTAGTTAGGGTTAGGGCTTGGGATTGATCTCCCATCGTCAAGATTGCAAACCACTCTTGATCGCGTGACGGCGAGTGCCATGATAAGGACTGGCGTAAGCAAATATCGACGAATTTCCTTTTTGGCAAGAGGTCTCTTTCCACAGTCATCTACTGCGTGTGTTTAGCAGGCCACCGAGGACCAGATCCGGCGAAATAGCCATGTAGTCCTTCTAGATTCATCTGCCGGCGTGTCAAGCATCTCAAAATAGCTCTCCATGCTAGAGAATGAGGGGAAATTGAAATTAAAATGTTGCCGTACATGGAATTGTGGTATCAGCTCTTTTGTAATATGTCCGTCCCCTTTCATTCGGTTCAAAGCCCATAATTTTTATTGTTTCTGGTTATGGATTTAGTTCCCCAACTCGAAACTCCTCTCTTGTTCTCTTTTCCTCCATTTGATATCTCCACTTTTCGTGGTTCACATGGTGAAGTCACCGCTCAAGGCAAAGAAATGAAAGTTCGTTATGGAGAGGGTGTAGCAACTGC